GTCTTCAGCATTGGCTTGGATTGCTTCAATTCTTCGTTGCGGTTATTCTCCCTCAGTCCCTCAATGAATGGAGACGCTCCCCACCCCGGACCATCTAAATCTAATTATTGATTTACTCACTGAACCGAGCACAGCGCTTGCTGATGGGCTGCCGAATCAAGCGTCACACAAAAGGTCAAACTGAGAACACAAGTTCACGTCGTTTAATTTGTTCCGTGACCAAGCTTTCAGACGTTTCCCATCCATTTTACACATGAAAATGAATTAACCTGCCATTAAAAATATGAAGCCACAATCAAAAACTACCACATTTTATGTTATGTTTTTGACCAAAGAATATAGTCAAATATAAACACGTAAGCATGAGAACATAATATTTCATGATATTAAATTAATGTTGACGTGCCTTTAAGAGGCGTGGCCTTATGACATCAGTAGCTCTGACTCCAGCTCAGATTGACCGTTTACAGCGCGGTTTGTTAGTTGGCATGCTTCATTCTCCTTGTGTGTCAGTCTGGAGATATTTAAAAGCCGTTTGAGTGATTGATTTTGATATAACCGGGTAAATCGGATTCAAATCTATCAGCGCACCAAATTTGCGAACTTTGATTTTTAAAGACAGTGACTCCAAGTGTATGCTAACAGCAATCTTTTCTTCTTCTTTTTAGTATGGATTTAGTAGTTCTCGATCCCTTGCAGGACAGGCAGCTAAGCGTACCACACTACAAATCAGCATTCTCGACTGAGATTCATCCGACTATCCCGGACTGTGTTGTTGTTCACCAAATTAGGAGCCTGTTTGGTTTGAATGATTTATGAGTCAGTATACTTGAGGTAGCAAATGTGTCCCTGCTTGCGTGTCAGTGTTTCGCAAGGCCCAACGTTCAAGCAATTACCGCATTTTGTAACGTCATGAATTTGGTGACAATGGGCCTTGCCTGCATCAATCTGTCATATTTTAACCCAACGTATCATGGGAGAATCTTCTCGTTTCTCTGAAAGGACAGAGGAGCAAGGATTTGGCTAATATATCTTTCACGCACCTTTGCAAACATGCACATGTACACGCACACACACATGCAACATAATCTCAAAGGGGCGACGGAATAGCTGAGGAGGGGATCCATGAGCTTATAGGACTAAATAAATATTGTCTTGAAAGAATGAGGCCTGTCGCAGTACATAAAAGGCATACACAAAGACGTGCGCGCACACGTACACACACTTTCACAAAGATCGACTTCGGTAAACCATCACAGTTCAACCTTGTACTTGAACAAAACCTGCAATCACTGTTAATAGTTATCGAGCTTTGCAATAATAGCAGCATATATGTGTGTGTGTGTGTGTGTTCATGGCAATTCCAAGTACCATTGCGAGCGAGTGCACTTTGCTGGAAATTCTGCCAACTATGTAGTTCTAAATGTTTTAGTTGCCAGATTTTTTTTTCTTTAGTTCTCATAGTTCTCACTATGAAGTAAAGAGCCTTAGAGGGTTTGGACCTTGGTGATAAAATGAGTTGGGACAATAGATGATGAAACCAAGCCAGACTTTTGTGTTGATGATAAAAAAATGTAAAAATGATGACTGTTTTCATCAAATACACAGAGAAGGCTGGGTAAGACAGAATTAAACCAAGAGACACTCTTCATCGTGTTTATTTACTTTCAGGCAAAAAGGGGGCGGTGAGGGGTGAGGGGGGCAGATAAAGTGACGCAATTCTAAGAAACAAGTCAGTTATACTTTCTTTTTATTTTATGTGCAAGCATGAGGCGAAAAAAAAATGTTGTACGTGCCCTAACATATCACGATTTAGCAAGATGAATGAAAAAAACGTGAAATGGAAAAAGCGGGCTCATGTTGGGGTATAAACACATTTGTCGCAAGTCTGTTACATCAATACACATTTTATCCACCTCCAAAATTAATGGTCCATGCATCCACCATATGTGGCAAAATAATCGATTCCGTCTTTTTTTTTTTGTGTACTGTAATCCCGAAAAGAGAACAAGACAAATTATTCAACAAAAGCACTAGCCCTGACGCAAACGTCTTGAGGCTTTGTTTTGCACAAATCTCAGTGTTATTCACTGGCACAATGTTTTTTCTGTAATTCTGTTCTTCACGTAAAAATCATCACCTTTCATTGCTGTAGTTCCTCCATTTGTTATGATCTGAATCTGAACTGATTATCCTCACGAGGGTTCCTCCATTTGTATTCTTCCTTAAATATTCAATGAATTTTTTGAACATATTGAATTCAAATGAGTTAAAGCCATTTTGTGATTAAAATAATAAATTAACTATAATACTCAAAATACAACAAATTAGCATCATTTTATTATTTCAATCAACTACATACACATTGACTGAATTGTATATGAATTTTTTTCTTTTTTTTAACTCACCAAAGAATGATCTGGCCAGTTGACCCAGCTAGGTCTAAACGCTTGGTCCTCCTCAACCTGACTTTTTGAGCAACAGTGCCCTCTGTTGTTGCTAAAATGTGTGTGCGAGTGAGACTTGTCCAATTTTTCCATTTTCAACTCAATCGGTACTTTTGTCATGGTCCTGTATTCTCTTTTGTGTGACCTTCTCAATGTCGATGAAATCAATATTTGGAACAAAAGCAAACTAACAGCCTCAAGAAAAACAAAAAAAACGTCATTTTCCACGATCATTTATTTGTACCGGCCTTTTGTTTTTTTTTTTAAATTAAGGGACACCTGTGATGAAAAACCAAAAAGATTTCAACTTGTCAACAACATGGCCGTGTGCTGTAATTAAACGGTTTCATAATCGTGACAAAAGTCCTGCTAACAGCATTTCTGAGTTTTCTTTTTATTCATTTGACCAAAATCATTCAAACACACCTTCAAACTGTCAGGCAGATATGATAACTCATGAGCGGGTAAGACATACAAATGTGTTAGTTTGCAATATTGCCGTTTTTTTATTTTAAATTGACTTGATTTGACATTCCCACTCATTTTTCTTCTCCGTGTCTACTTTTGTAGTGCTCATCTGGTAGATTCCGTAACTTCTCTGCAGCCTTAAAAAGAAAAAGAAAAAGTGAGGCACCTTCAGGGACAGACGGTTGAGTACATTTCAATCTTGTGTCATCATTAGTCTCGATCTTGAAAGGCCTTTTGATAAAAATCCTGCCTTTTTTCCCCGCACACATACACAAAACATATCGATAATTAGTTTACCGCTTTCAGGGACAGCGGTTACTTGAGTGGACAGCAATTCAAATGTTATTTTCTCTTATATTAATTACTCTTCATGTCACAGTTGTGCATCAGCAGCGCAATGGACCCTTATGTGTGTTGCATCCACTGCCATTATTTTTTTTTTTAATGCCTAAAGACTAATTGAAAAAAACACTTGAGGAAAAAAAATTCAGATGTAAGTTATCAATATTTATGCATAAAAGGGTTGAAAAAAAATGTCCGACTGTTTGAAATGAACAATCCGTGACTAGGTTGCCGCAACGGTGTTCCTTTTATTAAATCACCTGTTCAGGAGTGAGGTCCCGCTGCTCCATTGCAAGCATCTCATAGCCGACCATGAACTTCTTAACTGTGGCCGAACGCAGCAGAGGAGGGTAGTAGTGAGCGTGCAGTTGCCAATGTGAGTTGTCTTCCTTTAAGTAGGGGCCAGTCGGGGCTCCTGAGGGACGCAAAAAAAAAAAAAAAAAAAAAAAAAAACATCCGTCAGATGATGAACGATGAGGGACTTGTAAAAATCCCCAAATGAACCAACCCCTCACCCACCCACACAACCCACCCACCCACACACACACACACACACACACACACACAATTCGTTGATGCATTAAATGCATTAATGGGGATGACACCTAGGGCTGATCATTACCTAGCTTGAACCAAACAAAAATGCAGATAGACGGCAGAATGTAGTGATTTGTTTCCGCTTCGATTCTGCAGCACGCTTGCTCGCACGCAAAGAGAATAATCAGGGTGCCTGGCTTGAAGGCCAATTAAGAATATGCATCACCATGGGAAAACAAGACCGTTCATCTTTCTTGCCATTCTCACAGCATGAATGAAGCATTTGGATCATTAAATCATTTAGCCAGCGGACCAGAAATCAGCCCACTTCATCGGTTACCTGAGCAAAACACAACAGTTGCTGACAAGTGAGCATCCATTTTCTGAACGGCTTTATCCTCACAAAGGTCGCGGGGGGTGCTGGAGCCTATCTCTTCGGGCAGTAGTCGGGGGACACCCTGAACCGGTTGCCAGCCAATCGCACGGCACACAGAGACGAACAACCATCCACGCTCACACACACACCGAGGGACAATTTTGAGTGTTCAATCAGACTGTCATGCATGTTTTTGAAATGTGGGAGGAAACCGGAGTACCCGGAGAAAACCCACACAGGCAAGGGGAGAACATGCAAACTCGCCAGAGCTGGAATCGAACCCCTTTGCACTGTGAGGTCGATGCACTAACCACTGGACCACCAGGCCGCCTACATTGTAGATATATTTGGGGGGCAGGGGGCTTGACGGCGTTCTGATTCATCGTGCTGGCGGAATATGAGTTGAAGCAGCAAAAATCGACCTGTTTTTATTTGTCGGTGGGCAGCCATTTGGCCAATAGCTGTCAAGCGACGTTGACATCACATGTGGTGAGTGATCAGTGAAGTGTCGGTTTTGTAAAGTAACTCAAGCAAGGCTTTGCTGCTGTTGGCGTTGGACCGGCAACATTTCAAACTCGCAGCTCTTGAGGCATGATGACACTTGCTCTCTTGTGTCGCATATCACTCGGTGCATCACGGCACTCGGCTAACCTTTGTATGGCTTACGGCCACTTTGCTCGGTGCTTCTTTGGCAGGCCCTCAAAATGGGTTTTTCCCCCCCACTGGTTTTTGCAGGTTGGATAAATATCAAGTACAGCCTGCGCGTTGGATCGAGCAACAGCTGCCTGGGTGGTAAACACCATCCCGAGCAGCACTTCCAGACTCGAGTATACTTTATTTGCGCGAGCCGTTTCTTCTCTGCAGCCCAACATCGTCTTCACAGCTTGACGTCAGAGATGCAAGGTGATTTCTCTGTCTTAGGGGCCATGTGCAATAGAGTGATATTTTGACATGTTATTTTGTTGTCGCACAGCCTCTTTTTTTAAATAGGGGACGGGGGGTTTTTTTTGCCGAACCCCTGCAGTCTGCTCATACTGACGATTTGTTTCAATCGGGGATTAAAACATTATTATCTACCGCAGCATTCTCTTCTCCTTTATTCTCTTGTTTTAATCCCCATTTGCACACTATTCTTTACTTTATCCCGACTGATGCTTGGTTATAATCATTTTAATCAAACTATTTTAGAGGATTTTTATTATAATTTTTGCAATGTCTGAAATTTGCAGGCGGCGGTTCAATGCTTTTAATGTTTTTGTAAAGGATTTTGAATTTTAAGGCACAATGACATGCGTTATACAAAATAAAACTTCAGTTTTTTTGTCTGAAAACTCAACTAATTGCTGTGTTTCTGCTCAGGTTTTTGTGCCCCAACGAATAATGCAAAAATGTTATGGTAAAAAAAAAAAAACAAAAAAAAAACGCTTCAATAATGAATGTGCCTTATGTTTATACATTCCTGACCCAAAATAATAATGCCCGTCACTCTCGACGGTTGAGTAAATACGCTGTGTGTGTGTGTGTGTGTGTGTGTGTGTGTGTGTGTGTGTGTGTGTGTGTGTGTGTGTGTGTGTTTAGGGAAACCAAATCAATTATCTCGCAAAATGCACTAATGCCAAAATTATAGACACCTTCCCAGGCCAAAAATGTTGAATTTGGATCAGCAGCAAATCAATCATGATTTATTTTTATTTAATTTTTTTTTAAGGACTGAATCTAATGGAACAAAAGTGAGGAATAAATCCTGACCCAGCCTCAAAATGGGTTCATCCTCAGTGAAGATGAAATGTATTAGTCACATAGGGATTGTTGCAAATCATGCGGGGAGTCCTGCTGACTGTAATCATCATCGTTTATGTAAACAAAGGCCTCGTCAGCATTCCTTAGAGGCCCCCGCAGCCCAATAAAAGTGAGACAGCGATGATGCTTTACTGTAATGTCAAACTGTGGACATGCTTTTCTTTCCACTTTTGGATCAACTCCTGTCTGCCAACTCATCCAAAAGTCTGTATGAAACGCTGATTCCTTGCTAATTCCATCATCCTGCTGTGATGTTTGCTCGGACTCGCTCAAAGATCCGGCATGAATCTGAAATCTCTGCTTGAATCTTTTCCATCAGCCTCTTATTTTCCTAAAATGTGTCTTTCGTCGTGTGTTCCTTTGTATCATCGTCTGGTCCCCTTGTGAAATTGGCACATGGCTGTGACGGTGGCTGCCCAGCTTTAGATCAAATATGGCTGAGGTATAAGCAATGGGATTTTTCTACATGTACACATTTGGCAACAAACAGCTAAAAAAGAAAGAGCTGATAGAGAGGAAAGCGCTTTAAAGAATGGAACAATACATAATACATTTTGGCACCCCAATATCGGAAAATAAAGGGATTGTCCATTTTGGGCTACCTTCGTTGTTTCTCAAGGGAACAATGCTGACTCTTCAAGTTGTGTAACCACAAAAAAAAAAACTCAATCTAAGGCATCAACGGGAGCTGTTCCACTGTGGGATGGACGCCCGTCATACACTTAAAAACTGTTAGCAATGTTTTTGTCTGACAGTGGATGTCTTGGGCGCTCTTTTGTTTTTGTTAAGCACCATTTAAATAAGAATATATGAAGCACTGGCAGGGTAAGGAAAAAAAAAAAACGCATCCCTTTATATTTACATTTACATTGTTGCCAATATCCTGAACGGTACAAATTTAATCTTTCGATATGCTCATGTGTCTGACAGTGATTTATGGCACACTAATGCTTCGACTGAACACTGAAGAGGAATTCAAATCACTTTCAGAAAACTTTTGACATTAAACAGGCTGCTTAATATTCGCTGAAAAAAATACCGTATTGGCCCAAATATGAGACGGTGTTTTTTGCATTGAAATAAGACTGAAAAAGTGGGGGTCTTCTTATATTTGGGGTCTAGACATTATACCCATTCACGACACTAGATGGCGCCAGATATCATTGAAGCGAATGCTGAACTTGACTTCCCAGGCCAAAGTGAACCCCTGCCACGAAGAATAAAAATAAAAACAGCGGTAGCACGAAGCATAAAAATAAAAAATAGCGGTAACAAGGAAAAGAGAAGAAAATAATAGAAGAGATAACAGAAAATGGAGAAACGTAGTGGCAATCTGGAGAAAAGTGGGTCGAAGATCGGCCAGGTTAACCGGCAGCTGAGGAGAACTTATGATGTAATTTACATTTCAAAAACCAGAAGCCATTCATTTACGAATGTGATTGCACTTTAGATTTGAATGAGGCAAAATAACATGCTTTTTCTCTCAAATATATTGTTATAATCATTTGTTTCAGATGTATTGTAATTATTTTCTGTATAAAAATTAATTTGGTGTTCACAAAGTCTTTCTTCAAAGTTGAGTCTTGAAAAAGAGGGGGTTGTCTTATAATCAGGGCCGTCTTCGGGCCAATACGGTAATCTAATTGAGGAAAATTGCTCAGGTCATATTTTAACCCTTTCGGGGACAGCGGTTGCTACAGTGGACAGCTTATCATGTTATCAGGTTACAGGGTGCATGAAAGGGTTAAAGTACTGTTACCGCATTGTTATGCTTTTCTCTCTTCTTTTATTGTTTCCTGTTTGATTTTGTTTGAAGTAGTTCCTTTGTAATGAGACGTCTTCATCTTACATATTTTTGTCGTCTCTACAGTAACTTCATTCTTCCCTTGTGTTGCGAAAAATAAATATTAGCATTAACTGTCATGCCTCATGATTATTTCTTCGTGTGTTTCCTGCAAAATGTTTCTTCTTACCATGCCAACCCATGGAGTAGGGAAAGGACACATTAAATAGATTGTCGTATTTGGTCAGCAGTCGCTTCATAATGTCAGCCAGACCTGAAAAAAAAAAAAGAGACGAAAACAAAGTAAGTCAACAACACTAAAGTGGAAGCGTGTTAAGTGTTCATCCGAAATGGCTGTCCGAATGTTGGCGACAAAACCGGAAAGAATTTCCGCAACAGTCACCAGCTGTTCTTGTGTTAGAGAGAAACAACTTGTCGCATCTGCCCAAAAAACACGTACTCTCCCTTTCCTCTGTGGTCAACTCGTTGATTCGGAGGACATGTCGTCGTGGCAACAGCAGCAACTGATAGGGCCACGTCGCCCAGTAGGGAACCACTGCCAGCCAATGAGGGTTCATCACCACCACGCGTTCCTGAAAAGCAAAATGAAACTCAGAATAAATGAAAAAAAGATTTTCATAAATGAAACAAAATAAAAAAAAGAAAATGCCTTTTAAAAAAAAAAAAAGAAAGAAAAACAACTGAAACTACAATTTTGCATCCAAAACTGAATAAAACTAACTATCATAACAGCGAAAATTGAATTAGGTTTCATCTTTGTCAATTAATATCATACGTGAGCTTTCAGGGTTAATTTTAAAGGCATTTATTTCGGTATTGCTGTACAACTGTACAGAAGAAGAATGGTCAAATAGACATTTCCTGACCTAAATTTTGTTTGTGTGTGTGTGTGTGTGTGTGTGTGTGTGTGTGTGTATGTGTGTTTTTAATCTGGCACACGACAACCATGCCCAAAATTAAAATAAATAAATAAAACTCATTCTAAATTAATAAAAACTAAACTAAAACAAAGCATTCCAAAAAAATTTTAATGAAAAAAAAACAAGCTTTTTTAACATAATTAATTAAAAGTAACTGAATTTAAAATGCAAAAAAAACAAAACGAAATAAAAAATGACGAGGATGAAAACTATTTTCGGGGTAGAACCAGTGCAATGACAAAGGGCCAGATGTGGTATACAGGGACTTCTCAAAGATCTAAAAACAATTACGCGAGGTACAAATACTTAATAATTGAGAAAAAAAAAGTCAGTAGAGAATACATGTACACTGACATTTGGACAAAAATGTACAATCACTCAAACCTGTTTAATGTATTAACCCTTTCAGGGACAGTGGTTACTACAGTGCTCATCTTATCATGTTATCAGGTTACAGGGTGCATGAAAGGGTTAATGGACGCTATGTAAACAACATTTAAAGCAGTTTTCTTTTACTGATCCGATCATTGTTTTTCTCTCCTCGCACTCCTTTCCAGTATTATAACACAACAGAATGAAGACTGACAATAAATTAATCGGAGAAAGGACCAAGGCGTGCAAGTAAGTGGAGGCGGTACTAAATCAGACATCTCTCACATCTCCAATCTTCCCCCCCCCAAAAAGTTTCATTCAATTAGCTTGGAAAGTTTGGCTATCACATGGGAGACAAACCCCAATTCAAGCTTTTCCAAGTACTGCCGTGTGCCAATTTATGGTCCTAACCTCGGGTCAGACAGACAGGAGCAAATAGGAAGAGGGACACTCTTGGCACAAGAACACACACACACACACACACACACACACACACACACACACACACACACACACACACACACAAACTGCTTCCACTCTAATTTTATAAAGGTCAGCCCCCATGAGTGCCCAGATCTCACACCTGTTATGTACGAATCAGACAGCTATTTTCTTTCTTGCCAAATCACGTATAATCACGGATATGTGTGCCATCAGTGAGTGCGGCATTCCTTATTTTGGCTGAAACCTAAAGCAGCTCAAGCAGCAGGGAGCGTAGGCGTCACCACTAAATACTCTATTGGCTAAAGTTCAACCCTTCAAATGAAAGGACCTAAAGCGCCGTGAGGTGCCCAGATAACCTCACGAGTTAAGGTTAAGCGCAGATCGGAGCCAAAGGCTTGATGTCAAAGGTCAAAAACTAGGGCATGATTTCTATCGATTTCGCTTGTACTTAAATCCTTCGCAAATCTAGCAAACAGTTTGACTTTGACAACTTGAGGAAATTCTCACAGGAAAGAATCCGCGTCAGGTGAAACTGTCGTCGCCGTCATCATCATCATGTCTTTAACTGCAGCCAGGAACATTTTAACTTTCTTCACTCTCATGCGGTACAGTACACTATGATGTCTTCCACAATGGCAGTCAGTCCTTCTTAATCCTTTCAGGGACAGCGGTTACGACAGTGTTACTACAGCTTATCAAGTTATCAGGTTACAGGTTATCATTATTGGTGCATGAAAGAGTTCATGAGTGTTGCAAAAAGCCCTCGCAAAAAGCTAAAGAAAAACTACACATCGCAAGAATGATGGTGGTGCACAGACTTTTTTTCATTTCCTCTATTTAACTCATGCAGTGGCAGCCATTTTCAGACCCTTTTGTACCCTAACTGTTGAAAAAAAAATACAAATAAATTCCAGGGATTTAATGTGTGGTGCAAATAAGTGCAGTGTCACTCTTCAGACTGCATCATATTACAATGGCTGGCACTTTGAAAGAAAACAGCCTCCCCGTTAGATTTTTACAAACACCTAGGCCTACAACACGACTGTATTTTAATGTTGGTCATGTTGGTGCTCCTTGTCGAGATCATTATTTTCAGATGAGACTTTGTGCAACAAGTTGAAGAACCACTGCTCTTTCGCTGCTGTCTTCATATTCATAATAACTCCATTATAGTTGAGCGACCGGTGTAAAAAAAATCTCTGGGCCACAGCTCCCACCAAGGCATCTGCTTACTATTGCGACATTCGCATCGCGTGCGATGCTAAAACTTCCTCAAGGTTGCCGTTGTTTATGTTCTTCACACACCAGTGCAGAATTGCTAAAACATGCGAAACGAACAAAATATGTCTTCCTAATCTTTTTTACAGGTTGAAGATGGATGCCGCAGCGTGATGCTAATGAGCATTTCTGCTGCCCCATCACATGCTTCACTGCCTGAAAAACAGGCAGTGTGTGCTGGAGGAAAACAAAAAGCAAAGGTGCAACGGAATAATGGGGGGGAGAAAAGGTTAGAGGAAGCAAATGGATTAAGGGAGATGTACAAAGATTTTCTTGAAAAATGGAAACGCCGACAGCAAGTGGACTAGGTTAGAAAACTATTTTTTTTTCCTGAAGTGGATAATCAATGAATGACTTCATAGTGGCCATAAAAATTGCATAAATAGTAAGATTCCTCCACTTTGATAAAAAGATGTAACTTCATCTTTAATTAGGGGGAAAAAAAAATATGAACAATTAGTTTTTGGTTTGTGACGCTTTCTAATCAATGTTCCCTCTCTTTTTCTATACGTCTGAGCATCCACACAAACTCCCTGTGTCATGTTTTGGTTTGTCTTTGTTTTGTTCCTTGAGTGTTTCAGCACCACCTGGAGTGTGGGGCGTCACCTTCAGCAGTGCACCTGTGCTGGATCAGGCAATCTAGGCGTGGCCTACTTAAGACACCGACTACCCATCTTCTTCGTCGGACTATTACTCTCGATCACCGCTTTGCCCATGTGCTTTGTTATCTCTCGTTCATGCTTCTAGTCGCCCTCCTCGTCATAGTCATTCGGGTTTGTGAGTATTTATTTAGTCTTGGTATTGTACTTGGTTTCATTTTTTGTACAGCCTCAATTTGTTTTATCGTGTTCTCGAAAATTATTCAATCCTTGTAATTGGCAAGCGCTTTGTGTTCTCGTTCGATTTCTCTGGCGCCCTGTTTTGCCAGCACCTTTTGTTGAATACTTTGTCGGTCCCTCGCTTTTCCTTAATAAACCTTTTTGTCATCGCTATTTATCTGAGTCTGCGTTTGTGGGATCCACACTCCATTCGGTCTGCGATCAGACCACAACCTATCACCCTGAGGGTCCCTTGGGACCACGGTGAGCAACATCAGACATGTACTCGGCAGGTAAGCTAGTATCACACCTGTCCAAACCAATTACATGATGTAGGCATGTTACAAAAAAAAAAAAAAAAAATCAAACCACCTATCTATCAAAACAAAATTATTTCAGCGCCCAGGTCATTTGAAGCATGATTACATCAGTCGAAATCAGGGGTGTCAAACTCATTCTTGTCGCGGGCCACTATGCAGTGACGGCTTCCCTCGAAGAGCCGGTCTGACGGTGACATCAAAAGTTTAATTGTCACATCGCCTCATTACTTGTACACAAAAAATAAATTGATGGATTCCGCTCAGTCAAGTAAGCTATAATAGCTTGTTCAAGTGTGTGTGAAGAGCGGAACAAAACTATTGCAAAATCTGAAAATGTATTACACATGATGATTTGACATTTTGGTACACATTTTAGCAAGGTTCATGACAGTTGGTACCCATGATTTGCTTTGGCGGGCCACATTAAATGACATGGCGGACCGGATCTGGCCCCCGAGCCTCGAGTTTGACAAATGGTCTAAATAGAATCTGCATTAACATGGTCCCACATTGCCCAATCATAAAGAATGCAAAACATGCCATTGAATTAAACATAAAATTGCTAGTTACCTGACCTCTGAAACGTTCTAAAGAGCCTCATTTAAGGGGCTCGCCCATATTTGCCTCTGCCACCTGCAGCGTCTCACCAGTGGCGAGTGTGACTGGACATGTGACAATGTATGCTTCAGTCTACCGTATAGTAGGACAACCAAACAAACAAAGTCAACATTTCAGGTAAAGTGACAAATGTTAGACATGATTCGGGCCATTTTTCTTAAAGTGACGTGTCGTTCGCTCTACTGAGGTTGTTGAGCAGTACCTTTTTAGCAACTTCTTGTTTGGCATATTGCAGCAGCAATGGTTCTTGGTACTTTTCATAGAACGCTTTCTGACATCGATCGGACAGAGTTGGCTCATTTGGGAGGAAGCTGCTTGCCCACACCTGTGATATTGAAGGAAGTGTAAAAAAAAAAAGATGCAGGAAGTCATTAAGAAGATATGACGAAATTGGCAAAAATTGTAATCAGGCATTGGAATGAGTTGAAACAAACGGCATAGCAAGGGCTGCCAAAATTTATGTGGCCGGGTAGTGTTTCAAGGTGCCACTAGTTTTGTATCTAGTATTTGGGCCACTGTCGTTCTCACTTGTGCTAGGCAACGTGAAATAAAACCTTATTCCTGCATTTAACTGATTGGGCCTGGAGAACTTTAGTTGTCTGCTTCATGGTGCACTTTTACCCATTTTCATGAGCTTTTTGAGCTTGACTTCATATTTTTGTGACATTGGGGCTAAAATCCATCCATCTATTTTCTGTTCCGCTTTATCCTCACAAGGGTCACTGGGGTTGCTGGAGCCCATCCCAGCCGTCTTCGGGCAGTAGGCGGGGGACACCCTGAACCGGTTGGCAGCCAATCGCAGGGCACAAAGAGACAAACAACCGTCCGCGCTCACACTCACACCCACGGACAATTTAGAGTGTTCAATCAGCCTGCTATGCATGTTTTTGGGAATGTGGGAGGAAACCGGAGTACCCGGAGAAAACCCACGCAGGCCCGGAGAACATGCAAACTCCACACAGGAAGGCCGGATTGAACCCACGACCTCCGCACTGTGAGGTCGACGTACTAAACACTGGACCACCGCCTGGGGCTAAAATGTTAATTAAGTATTCCATGTGGAGCAATAACCAGCGGCATTTAGTGCGGTGTTCGCATGCCACGCAGGATTGCATCTGACAGAATGGCTAATTGTTTTCTGATGAAACACACCCCTGAACTTATTCACCCAAAATGTAGTCGGCATCCAAAGGCGACGCACGCATTATTAAAAGGCTCCCTCTGGTAATTAATGATTCTTTCATTTGGGGGGACTATTTTGGGTTGGCTCTTCTTTATCAGATATCACTCCGCTGCAATGTTTTAAATCTACAAATGATGGCATGTCATCACAAAAACTGAAAGAAGCCCGAACATTAAAGGCATGCACATCATAACATGCACACACAAAACCTAAATTTGTGTGTGCATGTTATTATATCCGCATGCGCGCCAACATCTGTGACTGTGGGTGTATTTGTGCAGCTGCGTTTCTGTGGACACTCAATCTCGCGCCTATCCAGTAGCAGACTATTGACTCAAGGACAAGTGAAGAAATGACCGGCAAGAGACCGACAAAGATGAGCACATATTCTCACAAGGCAAATTGTATTGCAAATAGTGTGCCACTTTTACTGTACATTTCCTTTTATAGAGTCTGATATAATCTGTAACATGTGGGGGAAAAAAAATTATAAAGGCTTTATCCCACATGGTTCATATGTGGTTTTCCCAGAACCGTAATACTGTACTGATTAGCATGTCAATAATGAATTATTACATTATGATGATGCCCGAACAATGCAAGTTATTTGTAAACTGTTTTGATTCAAATCCAAAATGGACAGTAAAGATATCCCAAACTTGGTCTTTCCGTGTATTATATTTTCATTGTAACTACTTATTAGGGAGTTTTAGTGTTAGATGTAGCAGTAAAGAAACATTACATTAGCCTGAAGTCACACACTGCCCTCTATTGGCAGCATCCAGACATTGACAGCACATGAGAAACGGCGTGTGCTGATGATGTCTGGTATTGTTGCTGTTATAATACTATTTTTTAAATGTAATTGAACAGCCAGCGAAGAACATTTTTTGAACTGGAGTATTTGTTCTAAATGGGTGCCTGAGTGCTGAGCAATTAGCATGTGCGAGAGTGTTTTCTACCTGACAGTGGGGATGTGGATTGGAACAACCCATCATTGCTCCTTTATTTTCAAAGATCTAAAGAAAAAAAATAGAACACAAAAGTCGACAATTTAGAGTTCTATCTTTGTTAACATGCTATAAAAATGTAATAACAGATGCATGTTTTATTTGACAAAGTTGGGAATTTTACAATTTTATAGCAGATACTGTATGTCATACTATTTACTGACTAGCTGTATTACCGGTATATGTGTGTGTGTGTGTGTGTGTGTGTGTGTGTGTGTATATGTATATATATATATATATATATATATATATATATAAGATTGGGGCGAATAGTCGATACATCCCATACCTGAACCCATGGGTAGGTGGCGCCCAGTTCTTCCATGAGCTCCGCCCACTTGTCAATCACAGTGACAACCTCTTCTTTTTTCATGAGAGGAAGGGTGACATCAGACCAGGGATGGAAACACATGACCTTACTGGAATGACGAGATAATATGTCGATCATGTTTTCACTCATCAACTCTGAATGCTGGGGAAACGTCTGGCAGAATACCTGGCAAAATCGGACAATTTCTGACATTTTGGGTGGTTTTTCTGTTGAGGTTTCTGATTTGTTTTTTTTTTTCTGCCTTCCATATAGTTTGCTGCCATAAAAAAAGGATATTCTAAGACATTATTGGACCATTTATTTTGATATGCTGGGTGTCCCAAAAGTCAGAATACACTTCCTTTTTCGGGCCCAAGCAGAGACTGATGCAAGGTCCTTATTGTTTCTGGACAAATTATAAATATTACTCATATTATTATCTGTAATGACTCTCATTTTTGAGGGGCTAAACATCAGCAAAAACTCGCTAAACTTAGCACACACAGCGAGCTTAGCGAATACATTTTATATTTTAAGGATGTTACACGTGTACGGAAAAAAAAAGGGTCTGTAGCGCCCCCTACAGTGGTTTCACACTAACTTAACCCGGTACGTTTGACCTATAAGGTCACCTATAAAGTGATACTGAAGGTGAGCTACATTGCTGCCTATAATTGACACCCGCGCTTTGTGCTACTGCGTTTTGGTTCTTCTCACAAGTCCAGATGTCTCATCTGATAGCCGTCAATTTGACGCAGATGAAGGAAGCATATGGTCAAGCCGCCGAGCTACAAATAAACTTGCTTCCTTGTCTCCCCCCACTCCTCCTCCATTCCCAAATTGGCTTCTGCTGATGAAAAATGTATCTTTGGCAAGCTGGGAGCTTACACAGACAATAACTCCTCGCCGGAGTCAACCTAAATTGAATGTAACCAATTACCACGTCCCTCCTGAACTTGAAACAAATCATGGACCCTTGAGAAGAAATTGCAATTATTCTGTGCTACCTTATGGTACTGTAATTGGTATCGTGCATAAAAGGAGGATGTTGCCCCTCATGTTGACTTTTTCTTTCCTCCAGGATAACAAATTCCCAAATTAATGCTCCCGTAATTGGTTGCCTGTATGTCACTCGGGGGCCCGCAAATTTTGAGTTCAAGATCCCTTCGCAAAACACCACAACATTATGCGCAAAGAGACCCATCCCGGCCTGCGCGTGGTACAAACGAAAAGAAAAAAAAACACACAAAAAAAAGAATCCCGTCGTCGGGAAGGAAATGTCACATTAATACAAAAACATGGCAAGAGTCGGTAAAGAATCCCGTCGTCGGGAAGGAAATGTCACATTAATACAAAAACATGGCAAGAGTCGGTTTCAGAGTATTGGCCCCATTATCCAGTGTGTGTGTGTGTGTGTGTGTGTGTGTGTGTGTGCGTGTGCGTGCGTGCGTGCGTGCGTGCGTGCGTGCGTGTGTGTGTACGTGTGCATAGATAGGCAGATCAAATAAACAGATAAGAACACGAAATAATAGTTGTTACAATTGTCATTTTCCGTGATGTGTTCTGTTGTATTCTTATTTTATGTTTAACCCTTTCAGGGACAGCGGTTCCTAGAGTGGACAGCTACTCTCTTGTTTTCTCTTATATTAATTCATGTTAACGTCACAGTTGTGCATCAACCACTTCAATGGACCCTTATATTGTGTTGCCATCCACTGCCATTATTTTTTTTCCATGCCTAAATACTAATAAAAACATTTTTGATGGAGGTTATCATTATTTGTGCATGAAAGCGGTAATATTCTGTAAAGCGCTTGGTTACAGCTGCAGCTGCTAAAAAAGCGCTACGCACGATAAATAAAGATGGATTTCACCGTATAATCTGTGAATGATGCATTCATCTGAATCCTACAACAGGGTTTGAGAGTGACTTTCTTAGCAGATGTTTTTGTGCTACTCAGAAGGTTGTGAACTATTCATTAGGCCTCCGTGCTAAGAGTGAGTGACAGGAAGGGAGAGGCTTTCCTGTTCGACATGTTTAACATGAAACTGTGCAGTTATTACACGCAGCTAAGAAGCAATTTCTTTTTCAACACAGAGTAAATGTTGCTGACTTTTCTTGTCAGGTTAGGAAACGTTTCCATCCAGGAGAAAAACAAAGCATAATATATGAAGGGCGTGACCCGGTGAAAGTTAAAGGAAGTCGAACACAATGTGCGATTCAAACTTTTCCTGAATTTCAATACACCAAGTCTAATGATGATTGGTTCAAAAGAGGAATCATTATTATTCTACTCTCGGGCAGTCCAAAGAGAACCTATTCTAGATCTGTATGAATAAGTCATGCTCTTCTGCCAAGTCTTCCAAGATGCTCTGTTTTGAGTGACACTGCATGGAAGGTGTTGATATAACAATGAATTTATTATTGCGGCAGTAGTTGGAACTGGTGTAAAATGACACTGCATATGACACATTCTAATATTTGTTGATTGATAACCATACTTAGCAACAAAAAGAGCTGATCATTAACAACAAATATCAGTATGTTTTCTTACCACACCCCTGTGGCTGCTTTCGATTGAAACAATGGATGTTGACCGGAAGCTGAGGAGCACAAAATTCGTTGTTAATCACGCGATATGGTATGACAGTAATTACAATGCAAAAATTCCAACAACTTAGATTTGGAATTCACCTCCACCTCATGAGTGTGGTGCGTTGTGATGACAAACCGTACAAGAGCAGCAAATGAATACAAATTAGCAACAGATTTGCTTTCCCAGTGTGAAATAATGACTTTTTATTAGGCTGATGAAAGAGCCACTTACCAGGATCTGGAGAATCTGGCTGGATGGCAGGAAAGTCATTTTCAAAAACAAACGTGCTTTTGTATTCGGGATTTTTCTAAGGAGACAACACAACAAATAGACAAATTTCATTTGGTCTAGTTAGAAGTGGATGACCAAATGTGTGTATGTGCATGCGTGCGTGTGATAAAAGAGATAAAGAGATATGGTTATATGGTGCTGTGTTCGTACCATGTGACATCATCAATTATTCAGCATGTGAAATTAGCGATGGAATATAATTTTAGCACATTTCCAAAACTCACAAGCTGCTTCACTAATAAATCAAGGAACCACTATACTGTGAATGCGTGTTTTGTTCGCTGTTACCTCTCCATTAGCACGTGTGTTTCCGGGACATAGTGGATTGTATGGATCATATCTCGGTACACATTCCTCTGGAGGTTTTTCCACCTGACCGGTCCATGGTCTTTTCATGCGGTGGGCTGAGACTAGGACCCAACTGTCCCTCAGAGGGTTATAACGTAGGTGCTGGTGCTCTGAGGGCGCATTGAGACAAAAGAATTGATACTTTAACACACTTACCAGTTGTAATCCATGCTTACCAAGGTTGGTGGTTCACAAAAGATCAAAATATGCACTTTGTTTGAACATTCACAGATGATGAGTCATCGGTGTCATTTCTCAAACAAAGTCCTGTTTGTGCTTTTCAGACAACTTGATCGACGACTCTTGCGTGACTCAGACAGGCTGCAACAGTACGCTGATGAATATTATGCAGTAGCTGACGGGCATCTCACATTCATCAGGCCGCAACTGTATGAATTGCAATTTTGTAGATGTATTATTTTTTCAAAAATCTCTCGGTTTGGTTAATCTACAACTGGAGATGTTAGTATTTGCAAATATTCACCAATCTAAAGTGTTGAAAATAGCGTGATCCCTCTCAACTCAACTCAACTGTATTTATAGAGCACTTTCAAACAGCCATCGCTGCATACAAAGTGCTGTACATGGAGCAATTTAACATACCTGTATACAACAAACAGTAAAACAAATCGGTAATTAAGACGGTAGAAAGCACCAAACAGCAAAACCAAGAACAAATCTAAGTCATGCTGAGTCGAATGCCAAAGAATACAAGTGAGTTTTGAGGCGGGTTTTGAAGATGGGCAGCGAGGAGTCTTGCCGAATGTTCAGTGGGAGGTCATTCCAGAGAGAGGGACCAGCAACAGAAAAGGCTCGATCGCCTCTGAGCCTCAGTTTAGTTCTTGGTACTTCTAATAATGTCTGGTCCGCAGACCTGAGGCGCCGGGCAGGTGTGTAGGGGCGGATGAGCTCAGAGAGGTAAGGTGGCGCGACGTCATTTAGAGATTTGAAAACAAATCTCTGACGATGCAATGTTAATAGTTGAACAAACATACCCTTTTGGGGTCTTGTGGAAAAGTGACTGTTTTGGAGGTATTTTAAGCCAGCGATGTGAACAGTGATGAATGTAATGACAAAACTAATAAAACATTCAAACCACCCATGGAATAATTTGACAATTTGGCATGAACTGCAGGAAAAGCAACTACATATACTGTATGCTCTATGATAGTCCTGGGGAAATGAAACTTCATGAAGCACATGTGATATTTGGTACTCTTCTCGATAGTGCTCATGGATATAAAGGCTATCTATCCATCCATCCATTTTCTGATGTGGTTATCCTCACAAGGGTGGCAGGGAATGCTGGAGCCTATCCCAGCTGTCTTTGGGCAGTTGGCAGGGGACACTCTGAACTGGTTGCTAGGCAATCACAGGGCACACATCGACGAACAACCATCCGCGCTCACACACCTAGGGACAATTATAGTGTTTGATTAACCTGCCACGCATGTTTTTGGAAAATAGGAGGACACTGGAGTACTAAGGGAAAACCTACACAGGCATGGGGAGAACATGCAAACTCCATACAGGAAGGCCGGAATCGAAATCGAACCCTGCACCTCTGCACTGTGAGGCCGACACGCTAACCAGTCGACCACCGGGTGATATAAAGGCAAGTGCAATGGAAATTAATTAAACTATCTGCTGCATCTTTAAACCAAGAATGCCGTCTAGAGGAATCCAAAATGACTACAAGTGTTTCACGAAGCTTCATTTGTCCATCAGTCCTACAAGGATGGTTCGTGATCATTTAAATCTAACAATCGGAGAAAACACTCAAGAACTGTTCAATTACAAACAGCCAACTATAGCAATATCCATATTCCTTAAAATCCCTTTTTGAGAACTTGTTCAGTTTCTGAAAATCGGAAGTTAATTTAGGCATCCCTATTGGTCAATTACACTGACGTTCAGACACGCCCACTGTCATATTTGTATAGTTTTGTTTCCGGTGCAGTTTTAATGGCTACGTCCGGGATTGTTAAATATGGCAACGAAACCAAGGTCAGTTCAACTCCCTACCTTTTGGATCAAATTGGGCTTCAGGGCCACTCATGTCAACAACGTTGGATTTAAGTTGGGACAAGTCTTCCGTTCAGGTTTTGCACAAAAGCGCTTCGTCGGCTACTTCCTGTATGACAGGAGCATACTATTTGCTACCAAAATACATGGTGTCAATCTTTTAAAAACAGACAACACAATCTATATAGACGGGAATCAGTGGTACATTTATTTAATATATCCTCGACATTAAACAGAAAGTACCAGTAGAAATAAAAACACAGCCTTAAATAAGGGCTTTGTGGATAAACGCAAACCCCACAGGCGCCATTGAATGGAACGTACAGCGACGTCATGATCTGATTGGTTCAGCGGTAACGTCCCGCCTCCGCTGAACCAGGAAGTAGCCATCAGTCGCTTGTGGAGGCGCTGGGTGTCGCGCCTTGCTTTGCCGTTCTTCGAGCTTCTCATCTTGTCGCTGCGTCCTTGTCTGTTTTTGTTTTCCTTTCTTTGTTGTGTCAACAATGGCCTTATTCCGTTCCTGCTTTCGACTCTTAGTCTTTGTTGGCGTTATTGTCCTTGCCGTCCTGCTGCTGAGGCACTGGATGGCCACCAAGCAATACATTTTCACCCACGACGACATCGCCAAATTGGCCAAACAGTACGCGGGTGAGTTCGACCTTTGAAAATTTAAGAGCAGCCAAGATAAACGCAGATGTTTCTCACATGTCACATAAATGTGTCTGATCCGCGCTGGCGCGTTTTGCATGGTTGCCTTGCCTTCCGTACTCATTGTTCATGTTGTACTATTAGGACAGGACCACGAGCAGGCCTTCTCGAAACTGGTCGTCGAGCTCAGGAAGAGGTAACGCACTTTTGCAGCGATGAATATTTCAAAGCATGCACAATTATTGCTTACTGTTAGAATCTCTGAGTTTCTGTAAATGTATGTTGAGTACATTAAGTACACTCGCGAAAGCGAATTTGAATTCTAAACAAGACCTCTGTCAAACGGCAAAAACAATAAACAATGCTTATTCGTGTAGTTTTTAGTTTACATTCGTGTAAAACTGCAGTGTTTCTTACTGACAGCTGTTTCAAATATCGGCTACCTTGTGTAAGGGTAATTTATAAATAACTCGGTGTGAAGAAGTGCAATTCTACACTACTGCAAAAAAAAACACACTCACACTACAGTATTATCCTTGTGAAGCATTATTAACGGTGGCAAATGTTTGATTCTAACAGACATCATGTTCAGCTCAATGGAGTAGCAAATAAATATAAACAAACAAAAAAGACACACCCATCTCAAGTGAAGTCAAGTACAACTTTATTGTCAAACAGCACAGATGAAAATTCTTCCCTCTCAACCAGCTAAGACAACGAGAGGAGCCGCTGCGGGTGCCCGCGGCGCCATCAAAAGAACAGTTCACATAAAATGACAAAATAATACAACACAACACATAAGACACAGACAGTCGTGCAATCTTAACCACTTTTCCTGCATACCCTTTGTTGTTTGAAACGAATCAAAGTGTCCTTTTCACCAGTGGATCAGAGACGTCATGCTGAAAATGTGCACATGTCTGCTACAAGCTAGGTTTGAAAGCAACAAGAAGCTGTAGCGTCCATTCATGAAAAAGAGATGTGCTCTCATCTCCTGTCCCATGTAAATCCGCTTCAATTCCAAGCCGCGACTCCCAGTTCCACATACGCATCGGCGCTCTGCGCTGACGCTCCTTTCTTCTCATCGTCGGCTCCTCAAGCCATGCATCCATCCAGCCGCAGACTGTCCAACAGCACCGACCTTTCCGCTGAACAAAGCCGGGCTGTGAAAATGCTGCCCATTACAGGCGCTAAACACAATCGCCCCGGGGTTGTCTGGCAACGACAGTCAAATGGCGCCGACATTCCTCCCACTCAAAAAAATCAGTGCTGGTACACGTGTGCTGCCGAGAAGGTGCAACCACCAAGCGCAGATTCTTCTTCTTTGACAAATCTCCGCTCCCCTATTTGTTCACCTTGCGTTTCACAACCTTCATTGCACCAAGGCATCCAGTTTACATAAGAAAAATCTGACTATGTTGGCATTTGAAGACAATCACACACATACAAAAAAAGGAAGTTTCATCTTCTGTTTTCTTTAATATGTAGCTAATCCAATGTGAACTAATCCAGATATCCCGGCCACATCCTGCCAGATGAAGACCTGCAGTGGGTGTTTCTGAACGCTGGAGGCTTTATGGGTGCCATTTGTGTCCTCCACAGTTCCCTCACAGAATATGTGATACTTTTTGGTACTGCGATCGACACATCAGGACACTCAGGTGAGGACAAAGGGAGGTCTGTGTGTTTATCACATTCAGAACTGTGAAAGGGATCATGTTTATTGAATTTGTCATGGTCAAAGATCACAAAGACCTGAGGCATTCAAAATAAAATGCCAAGATTTTGGTTTTGTTTTGGGGTTTTTTAAAGAATTTTAGGGGGATGGGCTTGTGAAAACACCAAGTTTGATTTTTCTCTATCTGTAGGTCGTTACTGGGCTGATATTTCCGACACCCTTGTCTCTGGTTCCTTCAGAAGGTGGAAGGAGGGAACCACAAAGAGTGAAATTTTCTCTCCAGGTATTCAAAAGCTGATTTTTCTTGTACTCTATTTCTTTAATTGTGTTTATTATTTACCAGAATGCGACTCAAGTGCCATGTATTTAATAGAGCTGGCGGGGGGGGGGGGGGGGTCGCTCAATGGTTTTGCTTCAAGTTCAACATTTATTTTGCAATATTTACTCTGCACATATGTGATTTATTGTCATAGCATGTTAAAATTGTTGAAGCAGCAAAGTTGGTGCATGACAAAATTGTATTTTCTGACAAAACTTTTGATCGTGCTCTATTGTTAGGTATAATAGCGATATGCTGCTATGTTCTATTTTACAATATCATTAAAAAAATTTGCATAAAAACCATAACAACATTGACTGACCTTTTTATCCCTATATAAAAGGTGACACTGTCATGCACCAGATGGGTGAGGCTGCAGGGGTCCAGTGGACCGCCGGGACATGGATGGTTGAGTATGGCCGAGGTTTCATCCCGTCCACACTGGGCATAGCTCTGGCCGACACTCTGTTCTGCACCCAGGACTTTGTCACCTTGTTTCACACATTTAAAGTCTATGGCAAATCCTTGCTGATGGAGACGGGAACAATGCTCGCTGAGGCCGGAGTGTTCTAAAAGTAAAGTTGGGACACTTACACACCTGCACCGGGACAGTGACATCACAGGCTACTGATGTGATGTTTTGTCTTCGATGTCCGGCATGGGAGTACATTCTTGCCAGATGATTGTTTTTACAGCAAAAGAAAAGAACATCCTTTATTATGCCTGAGTTGAGAATCCAGTAAACGGCATCAACACTAATACCGATCCTGGACTTAAAAAAAAAAAAAATGTAGCCACTCCTTTCTACATTAATCTTACACTAACAGGCTCCTTGCAATCTTACACTATGAGAGCGTTCCCCTTTAAAGCTGCTTTCACGGACAATGAAGCCTTTCGGTGCTAACAAAACAAATTGTCTAACGGCTGTGATGTTAGGAAACGAGGCTCAAAAATCTTCCAAGCACTTGCTGAATGTGACATTCTTCTGAGGGTAATACATGACCCGTTGTTATCAAAGAAACCTCATTTGGTGGTTGAATATCGTGATTCCTGTTAACGTTTGAATATTGCATAAGTACTGCTGGGATGTTATGTCTTGTTACTTTGTATGAAGATACTGTGCGCGTTGTGATTTTTATGTGAATCCCTTCATTGCTGTCTTTCTGGACTACCTTTTTGAACGAATCGTTTTTGAAAACCTGCCACACGTCTAATATTCGTATCCTAAACATTTGTCGGTTCAATCAATTTCTACCATAATCTCTAAATTTCATGTTGACATTTTTAACTGAATACATTCTCAATAACTCGGAAGTTTTCACACTGTACAGTATGTGGTTCTTGTAAGTCATGAAGGAATGAAAAATAATTCAACCTTAATTGTTGATGGGGACATATACAAATTATGAGAATAAACAGGATTGGAAATGTATTCATCGTGTGGTTTATTCCAACAGCATTGATGAAACCAATATCAATCTTTTGTAATTCTTCCCATGTCTGACCAACCCTATCGCTCATTACAAGTCAACATCTCTGGATCAGTTGCAAGGTTTATGTGTTTATGGTTTGAGATTGTAATGATGTTGATGTGTCAAAAGTAATGTTTTTTTTTAATCGTAGTCTGACATACTTAATGCTTATGTGGTCAGTTTTATGCATCTTCAGTATTTCCCGAATTGTCTAATATGGCCTTTATAATTAAATTATAGCATATTAAATTTACATATACACAGATTCAGACATCTTGCGAACGTTAATTAAGACAGCTTTACATTGAGACTTGTCATTTCGATTAAATATCTGGTCAATTTATTTCGGTATACTTTCGCGATAAGCGTACACTTGCACGGGCTACATTAATGACAAATATGGAACTTATCCATGACATATAAAATGACGCAAAATGCAATTAATGCCGCACGCCTTGAAACAATGGAGGACGCGTATTCAAACGTTAGTGACGATTTGAAGTTAGTCCATTCATCGTTTACATACACAGTGGCAAGGTTGCCATATTATACCCCAAATAATGAGGAAGTCTAACTACGGAGTGTCCCGAGGGACGAACTACCCACTGGGCTATTCAGACCAATTTCTCTTGAACCCTCATCGGAAAAACACTTGACAAATACGAATATATTTCCGGCTCAATGGACGTGTCTTACAATTTTGCAAAGTATTCAAATCAAGCCCGAGAGGCGGTAAGTCAATGTTCACTGTTAATCGTGTACTGTCGTACTTTTACAGGCCAAGTGTTTTCTTTTTTTCATGCTTGCATTCGAAAAAGGTTTACGAAGAATGTAAAGATATACCTTCACGCTAATGTTTAGTTTGGGGGGGGGAATATGGTTTGGCCCTCATTATCCGAGGAATCTAATGGTTTTTGTTTTTTTGAACTGTAGTATTTATTGGGCGAGAGGAGGAATCTGGTGCTGTATTTCACGCTTTCTTGGCGTTCGCTGGTTGCCTGGTTACCCTGGCCGAGGGAGCGTAATTTATGGTAGTTTGTCGCCCTCCACTGGCGATAAGTGCCAGTACACAGAGGAGAACTGCAATAATTTATTTTTTTTTTTTTATGAGCAATGCACTAATCAGCATCATAGCATCATTTCAGGCGTATTTTTCCCCAACGCTGTTTTTTTGTATTTTGATTGACGCACACACCCACACTGATAACATTAAAACACGATAGTATGATAATGATAATTTCTTTACAAAATATTAAATTCTAAGCAATTAAGAATACAGAAACAACAAAGACTAACTAATTAAGATCAAGGATACAAACAATACAAAATATACAACTCTTAAATTGCAGAAAAATAAAGAAACCGTGTGTACATGATCAAATGTGTGCGACTGAGAGAATGTGACTGTTTTATTTCTTGTTATATTTCTACTGCTTTCTTATGTGTTTGTCTACTAGGATGAGTTGAGGATTGAAATGAGGAAGAAGAGCCTTCTCATCCTAATTCACCAACATCTGATGAGTCAAGGGTCAGTAGTGAGTTCGGTATACTCTAAACATTTATTTAAACTAACAGCAAGTTGTGAGACACAAAACGTAAACAGAGTAATCAGTAGTGAGGTGCTGTGCGTCTATCCAACAGCTATGTGACCACAGCGGTGGCCTTGGACCAGGAGATGAATGGAAGTGTGAAGAAGTTTGAGGTTTGTGAAAATGTCGATTTGGAGATGGTGTTGATGGAATACGAGAGCTATCACTACGTCAAGTTCCAGAAATATCCCAAACTTGTCAAGAAAGTCGTAGAACCAGGTGACACAATTTAACAGAAGTGTCACTAAAAAAAATCCCATCCTGTTTATTAACGGGCATCATCACGTGTCTCTTCGGTTCTCCGTCAAGGTGAAAGCAGAATTTTGAAAAGTGGTGGAAAAAAGAGGTGAGTGTGGAACTCAGAAGTTTTTTATTTATTTTTTTTCCACGCACACGCTAGTCCTGCCCCCTTGCTTGTCTTGCTGCTGTTGAACTGGTGCTCCCCCTCCCCCATTTTATGGGATTAATTAAAAGCTCATTCTATTTTTTAAAAAAGAAAAGACATCCTTCCCCACCATTTCTCTGCTAGGGCTGCTTGTTCTGTCGTGAAGCCTCTCCCCAAAATCCTGCCCCAAAACCTTGCTGGAGAAGTGAGAGGGAACGCTTCCGCTCCTGCACACACAAATGTATGGGATCCATCTAACATTTATATCGTATTGTAAATGAAAGATTCTTTATTTTTTTTATGATAATCACCCTTTTTTCCCCCCTCCCAGGGCGATGGTTTATCTTGTCCTCCAGAATTGACAGACTTCGTTCTCAGTGTTTCTCCTATCGGTTCTGCACAAGCTGGAGGAGCAACCACGACCAAGAAGGTGCTCATTATAACTTTATTATGACTTGTTAACATTTCTGTCAGGGAGGCAATATAATTAAGATTACATCTCAGTTTTGCTTTATATTAAATGTGGAATAATAGTGTTGAGGCATTGATTTAGGTCAAATGGGATTTACATTACATTTGGATATTTAAAGCATCCATTACCGTATTTATTCAAGCAGTGGGTTGCGGTCTTTATTTACTCAACTGCAGAAAGTATAAGGGATATATTGGAGGCGGGGCTTTACAGTATTTCCTTACTTTTTGACTAAAAGGCGCACTAAAAAATATTTTAATTTTCTTCCAAAAAAAAATCAGTGGGCCTTGTAATCAGGTGCGCCTTATGTATGAATGTTTCGCTTAATGTGCAGTAATTTGCTTTATCACACAAGTGCGCCCTATATCAGAAAATATGCAAAAATAGACCTGTTCGATGAAATTGCGCCTTATAGTCCGAAAAATATGGACGTTTTTTTTTTTCCCCGTTGTCACAGTGGGGCACGTGTCTCGAATGTCTGCCTCACTGTTACAGGTCTGTGTTCCATATTCTGTCCTCTCTGTGTTGAGATGCTCTCAACTACACATTTCCTCTAAAGTGGGACAAGTAGCTCTTTTTTTCCCCTCCAGATAGTCATACACTGTACTTTCCTCCCAGGAGGTGTATTAAAGACTGTGCACATGTTGTGTTGTAGGGCCAAACGGGAGGTAAAGGAGACGGCGAACAAGAGGTAACATACAGTAACTTAGTATATAATACAGGGGGTCCTTTGTTTACCATGGCATTCTGTTCATGTGCCGAAAGCATTGCCCAAATTTGTATTTAAATCAAAATGTACCATAGTCTTATCACTAATGATCACTAATAATGATCTGCTTTTTTTTTTTTGTTCTTGATTCTTGATATGTCCAAAATTTCATAACCACGCTATTAAGTATGGACCCCCACCCTAAAAATAAAAAAGCAAAGAAACAAGCCATGCGTGTTCTTAGTGATCAAATCCACTGATTGATCTTACTGCCTTGAAACACAACATATGAGTTTTATTTGTGATGCACAACAACACACAACAAGATAAGTGCAAACTTTTGCCTCTCGCACACAAAATAATAAAATGATAACAATCCCAAGAAGTCTCGCCCATCTTCTAAATTTGATCTTGTGTTGTTGGCAGGAGCGTCTTCTGAAGCCCCTCAGTGGTTTTTCAGGAATGAGTGGTGAGATGAAAGAATTCGCCACAATCATCCATAAGGTACTACAACACACACACACACACACACACACACACACACACACACAATTAGGAAGATTTTTTTTTCCTGAATTTATGATCGTTACTGTCTTACTTTGGTTTGCTGCGGTGTAGAACTGTATTTTATCATGATGTGAACTGCAACTAAAATTTGGGGGACTCTATATTTGCTCTAGTATGTGATGCCGTGATACCAAAGGCTGTACACTAGAGTGAAGCAGAGAGCTTCGCCAAAAACGGCTTCCCTAATGGTTGATAACACTCAAGTTCAAACGCTCGCTGTCATATTTGTATTACTTTGTCTCGGGTGTGGTTTTGAAGTCCAACTTTTAAGGTTTTAAGTCGGTACTTCTTTATCCATCGTGGCTGTTTTCGAGCCGATAGCTTCCACATGCATGACTCCTTCTCCATGTGTCTGTTTGTCCCTTGATAGGACATCTATTTGCACAACCCCAACGTGAGATGGGAGGACATCATTGGCCTGGAGGATGCGAAGCGATTAGTCAAGGAGGCCATCGTCTATCCCATTAAGGTGTGACCCGCTGCTATTTCAGCACTCGCCCTTCTTCGATTCTGAATACATCTCCTTTAAAAGCCATGGCGAAAAGGGAGGGCCTGGCCAGTCCGTTAGGCTGACATTAAATCTATATGCGGGATAGATAATATGGCAACGCACACATAGATGGATAGACGTGGAATGAGGGACGGACCTCACAGCGAATTTCTATCCACACAAATCCAGATGTTATCAGCGCTGATGCTTCTGATGGATGCGATGACATCAAATCAGGTCGTCTGCATCCTCTTGACATTTACACAACGAGATGAGGACCGATGCGTCCCTCTACCTTCCTGCAGCTCTTCCCTTATTGAATAACATCCCCGCCACCACATTCTGTCTCCATTACTATTCATTCTCTGGGGTAAAAGGTCACTTTGGTGATTTCACACAGGGCCCTGTTTATCACCTGCGATTCATACTAATGTATGTATTTGTTATCGACACCCACCCCAAGCCCCCCACCCAATACAACAGGAATACTGTATCGCTGCCCTTTGTGATTGCCACACACGTTTTCTGACATGCGATGTTTTTCTTCACAGTATCCCCAGCTCTTTAAAGGACTCCTTTCTCCATGGAAGGGATTGTTACTTTACGGACCGCCTGGTAAAAAAAACAAAACTTTAATTGAAGTGTAAGAAATGCTTAAATTCTCAAAATATCCCAACTTAGTTCATCTGCTTTGAACCCCGACTTACAGGTACGGGTAAGACCCTGCTGGCCAAGGCGGTGGCTACTGAATGCAAGACAACCTTCTTCAACATATCGGCATCGAGCTTGGTGAGCAAGTGGAGAGGAGACTCTGAAAAACTGGTCAGGGTATGTCTTCAACAGGCACCGGTCACAAAATTAGGTGCACCTGCATCATCGTTTCTTCTAATACAAGAGTTGCATCAAATATTTTTCCTTTACTGGGACAATTGTGTTCAAAAGGACATCATTTTATGACCCAAAATATTAGAAGCAGCATTCGGCATGTGGGGATTGAACATTTGTCAAGTTGGAATATGCAAAACAGCTCTTGTATTGGAGCTCATTTTGCGGGTTTTGTAGACGTGTTTTGTGTGTCCCTCTCACGTGATCGTTCAATTGAGTCACATCTTCTTTTTTGCAGGTTCTGTTTGAGTTAGCCCGGTATCACGCACCCTCCACCATCTTCTTGGATGAGGTGGAATCAATGATGGGCCAGAGAGGAAGCAACATAGTGTAAGTGTTACATAATTGAACGTACGTCTGCCCAATGTCGTTCTGAGCAGACCAGAGAAGCCGTGCTTCGTTACAATACAGTATATAAGGCTTTAAAAATCAAATATTTTCTTCAGATTGGAAGCACGTGCTTCGTGTTGAAAGTTTCCAACATATCACATGAATCACTTTAGTGATGTTCAGTGCAAGTGACTGCGCGATTGCCTTCCGCCAGGCACTTCCCTTGTCAAACGGTAAACAATATGAAAATGATGCCGTTACTAAATTGATTTCATTGCGGGAAGAAGAACGTTCAGGAAATATTTGCGACAGGGGCGAATATCAAATGAAATCCATGAATTTCCCAGCCCTACTACCAATAAAAAGATGGGTATATACATCATGATATAAAGCAGGAGTGTCAAACTCATTTTTGTCGCGGGCCACATTGTCGTGACGTTTTCTCCTCGGAGGGCCGTTATGACTATGAATTTTGTAAAACAGTACACTGTAAAGGTTTAACCACCTCCACATATTACACACAGTGAACAACAATTTGATGGAGAACTTGTTTTCAAATCAGAAGTCAAGAATAATAGCGTGTTTAAATATTGTTGTAATGGATTAGATATGACAAAAACAGTATAAATGTTAAAATTTCAGTTCAGCTTTTCGCAAGCATCATAGAAGTTGACATACTTAATTTGCTTTCGCGGCCCCATAAAATGATGTGGCGGGCCAGATCTGGCCCCCGGGCCTTGACTTTGACACCTGTGATACAAAGGGTTTCCATGGAAGTACACTTATTTACTGTAACAATACGAGTGTGTGTGTGTGTGTGTGTGTGTGTGTGTGTGTGTGTGTGTGTGTGTGTGTGTGTCTTCAGAGGTGAGCATGAGGGCAGTCGAAGATTGAAGGCGGAGCTGCTGGTCCAGATGGATGGACTGGCGAGATCAGAGGACCTGGTTTTTGTACTGGCAGCCTCCAATCTGCCTTGGTAATTATCAATGACTATTTCCACACTTAATAGTTGCATCGCATCCAGTCATGTTCAAAAACCAAGATAGGTGCTAGGGTTTGTTTTCCCATCCCTTCCTTATTGTGTAAGGATTTAATAAACTGTACAAGGAAATTTGAATTTCAAACAATTGCCCACATGCCGGACATACACACATTTCTTGACAGAGGCAGCTTGATGAAGATTTTACTCTGTTGTAAAATTTCACACTTGATGAGTGGGCAAGAGCCAACAATCTGCATACAAGCGATTACAAAGTCAAACTACAGGACTTCGGTTGTTGCTACTTAAAGTACCACCAGATGTTTTTTCATGCAACTAATATATGGTCAACTTTTGAATCAGAGATGGCTTTATGTGTCCCGAAATGTATTTTTTAAGCTTTTTTAGCGCGCACATTTGAGATATTTTGACCTATAAAAGCTTGCGCATTGCAGATTTTACCATGCATTGTCATTCACGGCTCTGTCACTTCAGAAAAAAAAATCCACCTGTTGCTGGGTCTAAAACTTTTAATTCATAAATATTACGAAATATATTATTATATTAACCCTTTAAGTGGCTACTACAGTGGACAGCTTAGATATAAAATAGTTTTATTATTGTGATATCAAGAGCAACGGTGACAGAATAACTATTGTTTTTCTTTGTGAGCCTCACATTTGAAAGCCTCCTTCAGGGAACTGGACCACGGCATGCTGAGAAGACTGGAGAAGAGGATTCTGGTTGGTCTTCCTCCCGAACCGGCCCGCCAAGACATGATCGCTCATTGGCTGCCTCCTGTCAGCTCCACGGGAGAGCTGCAGCTAAAAGCTGAGCTCAATTATCAACTTCTGGCCCAGGTAAGTCTATCCATATTTCATGTGTTGATGTCATCGAGCAAATCAAACAAGGTCGTCTAATGGTGCTGCTGTTGGGCAGGAGATGAAGGGCTACTCTGGCTCTGACATCAGACTGGTGTGTAAGGAGGCCGCCATGAGACAAGTCCGCAAAATCTTTGAGGCTCTGGAATCAAATCGGTTTGGTAAGACCAGACGAGTTCCCTTCATAGACACCTACGCAGGTACATTGGTTAGCATGTCCGGCATTGGCTGAAACTTTTCCCCTCTCTGCAGGGGACACGCGCATGCCGGCCATCCGGCTGGAAACCGTGACAACGCAGGACTTCCTGGAAGTCTTGGCACACACCAAGCCGTCGGTCAGCGGCGTGATGGAGAAACATACGGCTTGGGAGAAAGACTTTGAATCCGTCTGATCGACCGCTTTTCATTCACTCATAGTTGCTGGACTATTTTGGCTTGGTTCATAGACATTTTACCTGGTGTTGACTTCCCATTACATGGATCAGCGTTGATGGTAAAAAGCAGACAGGCACCCACGACATATCAATGGAACTTTTGTTGTTGTTGTTGTTGTTGTTTATGCACCATCATAATAAATCACACGTTATGTACATGATGACACAAAGTTGCACTCATCCAGGACCTGCATATCCGAAACCAGGTAACATTATAGTAGATTCTTAAGGATGTGCTCAACAGCATCTGGGAAAGTGTCGCATGTCATGTGAGGAGGAGGGTTGATTTTATTCTCGTCTCCTTGTCGGTATTTACCTGTAACCCCATAAGAACAAGTTCAGGTCCCATCACAGCGAGAGCGACAATACCACGTCACAGGAAAATGTTCATCTCACCGGTTCGGACCAGAATTCCCAACATTCCGGTACTCTGAGCTCCTCCGACGTCATCCCTGGCATCCTATGAGAAAGCACAAACCAAACTGGAACGTGGTTGAAATGAAGTCAATTCGGTTTTGCTGAAGTGAGTATATGCTTACATCTCCGATCATGACTGCTTCATCTGGGCTACACCCCAAATCAGCCAGTGCCTGCATGGAAGGAAATATTGTTACATCAACACAATCTGGTATGATTCAGTCGAAAAGTGCATTATGCAAAGGGACTTTCAAAACTAATCGTGTTTGGAAAGGTAGAATTTGACATGTACAAAAGAGCTTCAGGAGGATGGTGGAAAAACAACCTGTGTGAAAAATGTCTTTTCAGGCTTTCCCACGACAGAAGCTTTGCAGTCTGTGGCATACTCCAGTGCTGTTACAAAGGGTCCGGGGCCGAGGGCCAAGCCATCTTTCCTTTTATAGTAGCGAGCCTTATGGATCGCGAAGAGTGGAGCACCATCCAGAATCAGTCTGAGGGACAGAAATCGGCATGACGTTATGGGAAGGTGATTTTAGCCGAAAAAAAAAACGACCATGTATAGTAAGGCATTTTTTTTCCTGAAAAAAATGACCATCTATAAGGCATTTTTAGCCAAAAAAACGACCATGTATAGTAAGGCATTTTTAGCCCGAAAATAACCGACCATGTATAAGGCATTTTCTTTCCTGAAAAAAACGACCATCTATAAGGCGTTTTTAGCCGAAAAAAACGACCATGTATAGTAAGGCTTTTTGAGCCGAAAAAACAACCATGGATGGTAAGGCATTTTTAGCCGAAAAAAACGACCGTGTTTTGGAAGGCGTTTTTAGCCGAAAAATAAGACCATGTATAGAATGGCGTTTTTTTTCCTGGAAAAAAAAA